GCTTAGTAACATCACATGGATAATGTATCTAGATGATTCGGAGCCAAATTATACTTCAGTCGGAGATGACAAACCGTGAGAAAAAATATACAAAAGCATCGACACTTTCTTTAGGTTGGCACTTTGACGAAAGCATCGACATGTTTGTGAGGAAGTTACTAGAAAAGTACAATAAAGGCGTCGAGCTAACAACGTAAAACAAGCGCTTGTTGGGAGAAAACCCAATGATTTTCGAGTTCGTATAACTTTATGTTTATTAAGTTGGGTTCAATTTTGGTAGGTCGTTAAAAAGCTTTTGTCTTTTGTCTCAAGTTTTGTTTTTGATTAGCTTGAAGATGCATTTTGTGATTGTTCAAGTTTGATTGTTTCAACAAGAAAATATTATGGTAGTGTGAAAAGTTTAAAGAGAGTTGCATTGCTAAGGTTTGTGTTTATTACTTTCCTAGAACATAACATGTTATGAACTTTAGACTTTGTATAATAACATGCCATTCGTTCTCTTGCAATTTTTCTTCATTTGTGAATCACTTTAGTTCATAGCCCAATGTGAGGAACTTTTCCATTGTTTACTAAATTGCATGGAGACCAACTTTTTTTTTAACTCATTTGAATTATGTTTAATCTTGTATTTGTGTTAATTTTTATGATAGCACTAAAATGATCAAGACATTTTGTTTGATTTTGAGCATAACCACTTGACCAAATAGTCCATCTTCCTTGAGAGCGAGTGAGAATTTGTTTACCTCCTTTGAGCCTTTGTTAGAATCCATGTGGTGTTAAGTTTATTTTTGTGTGGATTATAATATTTTTTCTTGAACCATAACCATGACTTGTTATTTGAGTTTTTATCCTTGCCTAATAAGTTTGAGAGCATTCATATCACTATGTGTGGTTGTATTAAAGTTGGGGAGAAGAGGTTAGTTGGTAAAAGGTTGAGAAAAAAAAATTTTGAAAAAGAAAGAAAAAAATGAATGAAAAAGAAAAAAGAAAATAAAAGAAAAATAGAAAAGAAAAAAACTTGAAAAAAAATATAGAATAAAGTTGTGCTAATAAGTTGTGTGGATCGGTGTGACAAATGTGCAATGAGAAAAAGGTGATTGAAGTTGTGAATGTTTGAGTATTTGAGATGTGATAGCTCTCATTTGTTAGGCATTATTTTTGTTTCAATTACCTTGAGATATGACCTTTCCTTGTTAGCCAACTTACATTACAACCCTTAAAGCCCTTGTGATTATTGCTTTTATATTTTCAATATGAGTTTTTTTTATGAATGCCTAATTTGAATTGTTGTTAGCAAGATTGTTGTGTGTGAGTTGTCCCTCATGTTTGTTTTTCATCCATCGATGATGTTGTGTGTTAGGTGTGATTCATTCTTGAACATTTGTATTCTTTAGAATTTTTTGACATGTGTTTTATGCTTGGACTTTGCTTCATTGTCATGTTGTCATTTTAGTTTAGTGGTAAGCATTGATTTACATGTATTTTTGATATTTGTACCATACGTTTGTAAAAACTTGTTGAGCATGATTTCTTGATAATTGCTTTTGTTTCTTCAAGTTGATTGATTCTTGTTTGAGGAAAAACAAGTTTAAATTGGGGAGAGTTTGATAAGTGCTAAATTATAGTGGTTTTTAGTGTAAATAATTGACACTTATCAGCTTAATTATACAAATTAACCTCAACTTTAGTGTATATTTTGTGTAGTTTACATTATAGTGTGTAATATGCGTAATCATGTACATATCTTTGAGTTTGATAGTTTTTCTCTCATTTTTGTAGGTATACAAGAAATGATATTTTTTCATTGTCTTATAGAGCATTTAATAATTTTTCCAACGCTTCCGATCGTGCGTTAAACGGAGTTACGATTCTCAAGTTATGGTTGCATGAAACAAGTTCTGAGTTTGCTATCATGTTCGTTGTGCGAACTGGAGGCGAGCGAGCTCGCCAAGAGTTTGCCTAGTGAACCCAAGGCAAACAAAAATTGCTCTGAAGCATGGAAAAATATTGTTTTAGGAAGTAGCTATGTTTGGTATGTTCGCAGTGCATAGCGGAGTTCGTCCAACGAGCATGGAAACCCATTTTTGCCTATAAAGTCAGATTTTAAAAAAAAATTAGATTATCTTTTGGGAGCCTTTAGACCCAATTGTTTAGAACAATATTCTTTAGCATTTTTAGCTTACAAACAACACATGGATGATGCATCTAGATGATTCAGAGTCAAATCATACTTCAATCGGAGATGACAAACCTTGAAAATTTTGTTATTATTCCTTCTTATCTTTGTATTTTTTATTGTGTTGGGGTTGTTGTATTTATGTTTACTTACACTGTATGTTCATCTATGGATCTTTGTATAAAATCCCTTTTGCAAATCTTAATCGATGTTATCTTTGATTTAATATCTATCTTAATGAATTTGGATCGCTGTAGACATATACTTTTCAAACAAGACATAAGATGATGATCTGTTGGTTATGAGAAATGGTCTAAATATTCACGTGTCTGAGTTGGAGCTTAATGCTCTGTGTTGTTTTGTCGTGTGAGATATCACCTTAAAAGAATGTGGTTGATCTCTCAAACTTTGCGTTAGACATAACCTCCGTTTGTGAGCAATACGTGGGGGTTTTGACGAGTATTAGAGTGATTGCATTTGATCGATAGGTTTTTCTCGTGCATGATAGGTATAAGGAAATGCAACTCCTGATGAGTTTCTCCTTTATAAAGAATGTGTTTATTTATTTGCTTTTATGATTTTAATTTCCGCAAGTTATCCTTGGAGAATCATGTCAAACCCAAGCTTAGATAAGTGTGGAACGATATTCTTTCCCTCGAACCGATCCCTGTGCAGACGACATAAATCCTGGAGGAAATTCTTTTGAAAATAATATTTTTTCTTGCCACTTTACCGCTTCAATAGTCCTATACGAGGAGTGAACCTTAAAGTGGGTTAAGTACCAGATGAGGAGTGATCCTTAAAGTGAGTTAGAGTTTCATGGAGGACAACAATTCTTAGTGTAATAGACGAATCATTTTACAAAGATCTGTGGCCCATGTCCAATATTGTATTAGACGTGGGATCGACCGAAGAAAGATACTTTGTTGTTTGCATTTTTAAATAGTGATTTATTGAGTTATGTTGACTCAAGTATATATGTTTTCATACGAAGCAGAAATCACATAAATACACGAGCTCTTATCATATCGTGTGAATGTATACACGTAAGATAAAGTTGAGTAAGTTAAGTTAGAGTATGGTATAGTGACCTTTTAGAGCAAAGTGAATCCATAATATAGGAGAACCCACTGAGATTATTATCTCACCTCAATATATTGTTGAATTTTTAGGTAACTAAATCAGTATAAAGGAAAAGGTAAAATTGTACAAAGTTGCTTCAAAGATTTTGAAGTTTCAAGATAGTTTCTAGTGTGTGTGTGTGTATATATATATATATATATATATATATATATATATATATATATATATATATATATATATATATATATATATATATATATATATATATATATATATATATATATATATATATATATATATATATATATATATATATATATATATATATATATATATATATATATATATATATATATATATATATATATATATATGATTCCATTAATCTTTTATATTATATAAGCACTAATTAACATGTGTATGATATTATTTTAGATTTATATTATACAAGGTTTTACCTGCCTCATTCTTTTAATCCTTTAAACTCGAAGTATTTATTTAAATGATTTTTATTATATTATTTATTTATTTTTTATTTCTAAAGTAATTTTGCATTATTTAGGATAGAGTTATGTTCAAGTTTTCGACATTCAAACATAAATATTCAAAGCACAAATATATTTTCTCAAATCATTTGCACAATATATTATAGAATTTTTTTCGAGTTTAATTTTATAAGTAATCAAAAATTTGTGACTTAATTTACCAAAAACAATGATAAAAATAACCACTTGTTATAATTACCTTTATTTTAATTATTCTATTTTCTTTACTCTAATTGGCCTTCTTTCATGATTCAATCATATCATAAACAAAACAAAATAGATTCAATCATATCATAAACAAAACAAAATAGAAACGACTTTAAGGACTCTCTCTCATACCGTAAACACAAAAACTCTTCTCTAAAGCAATTTTCACAAATAATTGAAGTGTTTATAAAGGGAAATGACTAGTTTATTCTCACCGTCTTAATTAATTACTAGAAGAGTCTGTTTTCTCTTCTCTAATCATCCTTGTTTGACGTTGAATCTCTAGACGCAACACAATGGAATCGTTTACTACCACACCACGCACATGACATTTAATAGTGAGAGACATGCATGCATTATTTATTAGAGCGAGTCATTTAATGTTGACATGTTCCTACTTCATATATTTATTAGAGCGGGTCATTTAATGTTGACATGTTCCTACTTCTCTGTTCTAAATAATTACTAGTAGTAAAGAAAGTGTACTATATATTATTTTAGAAGAAAAAAAACTATTAATATTGTATTGAAATAGAGCACGTCGTTCGTAATCTGGCCGCAATATTGTAATGTCAGTAGTGTCCACATTTGTGGTAGTGTTCACATTTGTATTAGCACGTAATTACGGTATGATTTCAAATAACAATAAAATCCGCATTAAAATGAATTACGGTATGATTTCAAATAACAATAAAATCCGCATTAAAATGCTCCACAGCTCATCATAACACTACAACGATTGCATTAGTCTACAATCTCACAAAAATTATTTAATGAACCTTTCTTATTTATATTATAGATTTAAGTATATTTAAAAAGGATCAGAAATATTAAAAAAAATGACATGTTAAACATAAAATTAATATAAATATAAAGTATAATAGCTGTAACTGCAACTGCAAACCGCAATTCAAAACCATGGATCATTATATTACGAGTCTGTTCTGCTGAGTTTAAGAGAACAAATCATTCAAATTCAAGCTCCAAAAATGGCTTCCTTTTCCAACTCCATAGGTAACTTTCATTCCTGTTGCTCCATTTAGTTTATATATAGGCACTTGATCTATTTTTCTTTAAAGTAAAAGTTTGTTGTTCTAACTTCTAGCATCATTCAAACTTGGATTATGTATATATATGCAGGTGAAATTTCATGGATTTGTCTCAGCAGTTTTGATTTCAGTTCTTTATGCTTTCAAAGGAGTGCAATAGACACAATCAACATACTCTTTCTCTCTGTCTACTTCACATCTTTGCTTATCACTTTCATCACAAAAAGTTCCACAAATGAAAGCCATAGAAAATGCTGGATTTTCCTTATTGCTTCAATCTGTTGTGCTATTATTAGCATTGCATTTTTCACTATTGGATTGTGGAGTATCGTAGCTAAATCCGAGCAAGAATGGTTAGCTTGTTTTATCAGAGGAATCATTTGGATTTCTCTGAGTGTTTCTTTGATTGTTCAGAGAGTCAAATGGATAAGAATATTGAACTCTATATGGTGGTTATGTTCTTGTTTAATGGTCTCATCTCTCAACATTGAAATTCTATTCCGAAATCGTGTAATTGAGACTTTTGATATTGGACTGTGGCTTGTACATTTTATTCTTCTATATTGTGCCGTTCAAAATGTTGGTTATTTGGATACTCGTAGTGTCGAAGAAGGTTTATCTGAGCCATTGCTTGATGAAAATCTTGAAACTAAACAAACTGGACTTGGTCATGCTAGTTTTCTAAGCAAGTTGGTTTTCTGTTGGATGAATTCTTTACTTAGTTTAGGTTACTCAAAGCCGGTAGATCTTGAAGAAATCCCTTCCCTTGTTTCTGAAGATGAAGCAAACATGGCCTATCAAAATTTTGTCCGTGCCTGGGAATCACTTGTAAGAGAGAGAGGAAAGAATAATACTAAGAGTTTGGTTCTTTGGTCTATTGTTAGAATTTACTTTGGAGAAAACATATTAATAGGTTTTTATGGATTAATCAGAACTGTTTGTGTAGCTGTTTCACCTCTAATACTCTATGCTTTTGTTAGCTACTCGAATAGATCTGAGCAAGATCTTAGACGAGGTCTATCGATTGTCGGTTTTTTGATTGTCGTCAAAGTGTTTGAGTCTTTGTCTCAAAGACATTGGTTTTTTAACTCAAGGAGGTCAGGGTTGAAAATGAGATCAGCTCTGATGGTAGCGGTTTATCAAAAGCAGTTAAAGCTTTCTAGCTCGGCAAGGACGCGGCACTCGGCTGGAGAGATTGTGAATTACATTGCTGTTGATGCGTATAGAATGGGAGAATTTCCATGGTGGTTTCATATGACATGGACTTCTGCGTTGCAACTTGTTCTTTCCGTTGGTGTTCTTTATGGTGTTGTTGGTATTGGTGCTCTTCCTGGGTTGGTCCCTCTTATTATATGTGGATTTCTTAATGTACCGTTTGCAAGAATCCTACAAAATTGCCAGTCACGGTTTATGATTGCACAGGACGAGCGTCTTCGATCGACTTCAGAGATTCTAAATAGTATGAAGATCATTAAGTTACAATCATGGGAAGAAAAATTCAAGAATTTACTCCAGTCACTGCGCGAGAAAGAGTTTGTATGGTTGTCTAAGACGCAGATTTTGAAAGCTACTAGTTCATTTCTTTATTGGCTGTCTCCTACTGTTATTTCTGCTGTTGTTTTTATTGGATGTGCTGTTACCAAGAGTGCACCATTGAATGCTGAAACTATTTTCACCATTCTTGCAACATTGAGGAACATGTCAGAGCCTGTTAGAATGGTCCCAGAGGCTCTATCCATTATGATTCAAGTTAAGGTTTCCTTCGATCGTCTTAATAGCTTTTTGCTCGATGAAGAACTAAACAATGATGATAGTGAAAGAAAATTCAAGGAATGTTCTGTTAATGCCGTAGAAATACAAGATGGCAACTTCATTTGGGATCATGAATCTGTGTCTACGACTTTATCAGATGTGAATTTAGAAATCAAATGGAGACATAAAATTGCAGTTTGTGGACCAGTTGGAGCTGGAAAATCATCACTTTTGTATGCAATACTTGGAGAGATTCCTAAGATATCAGGATCTGTAAGTTTCTAATATAACCCTTTTAGATTTGACTAAATATCTAAGTTGGTCCTTGAAATTGTAGGACTATATTAATCTTACCTTATGATATTTCACTATAATGAAAAACAGGTTAATGTAGGTGGCACTTTTGCCTATGTTTCCCAATCTTCATGGATACAGAGTGGAACAGTTCAAGATAATATACTCTTTGGCAAGCCAATGGACAGAGCAAGATATGAGAAAGCAATTAAAGCTTGTGCTTTAGATAAGGATATCAATGATTTTAGCCACGGTGATCTTACAGAAATTGGTCAGAGAGGGATAAACCTGAGTGGAGGACAAAAACAAAGGATTCAACTAGCTAGAGCAGTCTACAACGATGCTGATATCTATCTCCTTGATGATCCTTTCAGTTCCGTTGATGCACATACAGCTGCAATACTATTCAATGTAAGTAAATATCACTTTCATCATGTTAAATTGTTGATCTATACATAAGATAAATGGAACTCTAATTTTGGTTAGTCCTTACAGGATTGTGTCATGACTGCTTTAAGAGAGAAAACAGTCGTTTTAGTTACTCATCAAGTGGAGTTTCTCTCAGAAGTTGATACAATCTTGGTAAAGTATTTCATTTAGATGGTTATTATATTACAATTGAACATATGTATTTCTCTCAGAAGTTGATACTAACATGATGAATTCAAATTCCAGGTAATGGAGGGTGGAAAAGTTATTCAATCGGGTAGTTATGAGAGTCTCCTAACAGCAGGAACAGCCTTTGAACTACTTGTGAGTGCTCATAAAGATACAATTACTGAGCTGAATCAAGATAATGAACATAAAAGAGGTTCTGAAAATGAAGTTTTGTCTAAGAATCAAAGTGAGGGAGAGATTTCTAGTATCAAGGATCCAATTGGTACACAACTTACACAAGAGGAAGAAAAAGTGATTGGTAATGTTGGATGGAAGCCATTCTGGGATTATATTCATTATTCCAAAGGGACATTCATGTTATGTTTCATCGTGTTAGCACATTCTGCTTTCATGACTTTTCAAACTGCATCAACCTTTTGGCTTGCTATAGCCATCGAAATTCCAAAAGTAAATAATGCCACCTTGATTGGAGTTTATACATTAGTTTGTTTTGCTAGTGCTGCTTTTGTATATGTAAGGTCTTACTTGACTGCACTTCTTGGATTAAAAGCTTCTACTGCTTTCTTCTCAAGATTCACTACAGCTATCTTCAATGCCCCAATGCTTTTCTTTGATTCAACTCCTGTCGGAAGGATTTTAACTAGAGTAAGATTTTTTCCATTCATTGCGATTTCATAACCCCTCATATTTAATTTAGGCCAACATTTTCTTCTCTCTTGTGCAGGCTTCATCAGATTTGAGTATTTTGGACTTTGATATACCTTATTCCATCACCTTTGTAGCAGGTGTAGCACTTGAAATTTTGGTTATAATTTGTATAATGGTTTCAGTCACATGGCAAGTTCTCATTGTTGCTGTTCCTGCAATGGTTGCATCAGTATACATTCAGGTTTATCTACTTTCCAGTTTTTCTTGGTTCCTTATTCTGTCCAAGGTTTGATCATTGAGCTAGTAACTTCTAAATTTTTTTGTTCTTTCTCTTAAAGGAATATTATCAAGCTACTGCAAGGGAACTAATACGGATCAACGGAACAACCAAAGCTCCAGTCATGAATTTTGCATCTGAGACATCACTTGGAGTGGTTACTGTAAGAGCATTCAAAATGGTAGACACATTTTTCAAAAACTACTTAACACTTGTAGACACAGATGCTTCGTTGTTCTTTCACTCCAATGCGGCAATGGAATGGGTAGTTTTAAGGATTGAAGCACTTCAAAATTTGACTGTCGTCACCGCATCTTTGTTGCTTATTCTACTTCCTCATGGTTATATATCCCCAGGTAGTAATACAAGATAGACAATTACCCTGAAATTTTGTTTTTTCAAGCTAATAATTCTTAACAACTTTCCGGTTCTGTGCAGGCCTTGTGGGACTGTCTCTTTCTTATGCTTTTACCTTGACATCAGCCCAGATATTTTGGAGTAGATGGTATTCCAACTTATCAAACTATACTATATCTGTTGAAAGAATCAAACAATTCATTCATATACCAGTTGAGCCTCCTGCCATTGTGGAAAATAACCGGCCTCCATCATCATGGCCTTCCAAGGGAAGGATTGATCTTCAAGACGTGGAGGTAAAGTTGGATAAATGTCTTAGACATTTTTTAAGGCCTAACTCATCTCCGCGAAATTGAATTTTAATGTGAAGTAGGCCTACTCATCTCTGCAAATTGACTTGTAATATGAAGTAGGCAGTCCAACCCCAAATCTCTGATATCAACTTGAAATATAGAGAAAACTGTTGGATTATTGGCTGATTCTCATATAATATTTTATTTCTACCTCTACTTTCAGTTTTCATCTTTTTATTTATAAAGTGAAAAGAAAAATTCTGCTCTCTTATGCGAATTTTTTACATTGGTTTCAGATCAGATATCGTCCTAATGCTCCATTAGTTCTTAAAGGAATCACTTGTACATTTAAAGAAGGGAGTAGGGTAGGAGTTGTCGGAAGGACTGGAAGTGGAAAAAGTACACTGATTAGTGCTTTGTTTCGCTTAGTTGAGCCATCAAGAGGTGATATTCTCATAGATGGGATGAACATTTGCTCAATGGGGTTGAAGGATTTGAGAATGAAGCTAAGCATAATCCCTCAAGACCCAACCCTTTTCAAGGGCAGCATTAGGACAAACCTGGACCCTCTTGGCCTGTACTCAGACGATGATATCTGGAAGGTGAATAAACTAATCTTAATATTTAGCATTAAGTGTAGTTGAATTCAAGGGCAGCATTCAATAACTTTATATTTGATTTGTATATTTAGGCTATAGAGAAATGCCAGCTTAAGGAAACAATCAGCAAACTACCAAGTCTCTTGGACTCTTCTGGTGAGTCTTTATATATGGATTTATGGATATACAAATTACGAAATCCTAATTTTGAAACGGTTTGCAGTGAGTGATGAAGGAGGAAATTGGAGCTTAGGACAACGCCAATTGTTTTGTCTTGGAAGAGTTCTACTCAAGAGAAACAAAATTCTTGTTCTGGATGAAGCTACTGCCTCCATTGACTCTGCTACAGATGCCATTTTGCAAAGAGTAATCAGACAGGAATTTGAAGAATGTACAGTTATAACTGTGGCTCACAGAGTTCCAACTGTAATAGACAGTGACATGGTTATGGTTTTATCTTATGGTATGTTATTACCTTATTATAAATGTTACTGTTTCTTGTTTTTTAGTATTATCTTTTGCCTCATGATTTTCTGCTGCTTATTATTAAAGGGAAACTGATGGAATACGATGAGCCTTCAAAGCTAATGGATACAAACTCTTCATTCTCTAAGTTGGTGGCTGAATATTGGTCCAGTTGCAAGAAGAATTCATTTCCAGATATTAGAGGACAACAACAATAAAGTATAAATATTACTATAAATAAACCCTAAACAGGAATTGCAGAGAGGTCTCTCGGCATATTCAATAGGGATTATTTTGATTGTTTACAATCTTTGAGAATTTTTTAGAAGTATTACAATTTTATTGATAGATTTTGGAAATTTATATGGGTATTATCCTACACCCAACATATATATGCATATGCACCGCATGATTACATAAATAAGTTATAGTATCTCTTTCATGTTCATTGCATTATGCCTATAAATACACAACACCAGAAACCATGATGCAAAAACTTCTGCAGACCCAACAAACAACACTGCAGTAGCATCCAAACACCCCAAATTCCCAGCCAATCCCGAATTAAAAATGATGACACTATTGACAGAAACTGTGCAAGTACAGACTGCCGAACCATTCCGCAACTGGTGACGAATGACCGCACAAGCTGAAGCTATAAAACTGCCCCTATCTGTCAATTTTCTCTTGATTGAGTTTTAAGAGGCTCGCTCCTTCAGAGTATGGGAAGCCACGTGACACAACTTATATGGCCTTTAAACAACTCCATTCTTCTAGGGTTTATTCATGCAAGCCTTATGCATGGACTCTTTATCCCAATCTTCCCTTCTTCCAAGTGGCATTGACGGGAAGATCATCCATAGATTGGAAAGGTTCCTCGTTAACATTCATGATGACAGGGAAATTTTCCCATACGGTGAACATTCCCCAGAGATGCTGTAAGCCTTCATTTTTTCTTATCCTTATTCTTGTCCTATTTCGTAAATACCTTCAATTAAATCCTTCAGCTGGACGCAGACCATTGTGTTATGGTCTCCGATGAATTAAATCCTTCATCTGGACGCAGACCATTGTGTTATGGTCTCCGATGAATTTAGAGTTAGAAATGAGTCAAGTCGAATTCGCGTTAGTTCAATTTGACTTGTTAAAAATTGATTCAATTTAAATCTCAGTTGACACGAACGTTTTTTAAATTCAAACTCGACTCGTTAAAAATTCACTAACAATTTAATTTAACTCGCTAGATTTATCCTACTAATTCAAAAACTACACAACTTTCAAGAGACACATTTGAAAGTCAAATTCACAAAACACTCCATTGAAGTTTATATTTGTCTCAAAAATCCATAACTTCATCAAATATTTAGAAAACTTACAAATTTAAAGAAATAATACACAAAAAATTATTAGAAATGAATACATTTTTATTTTTGATTACACCACTTGCAGCCTTTATTACACATTTATTTTAACAAATATCATAATACCTCTAACAATTATGACTCTAAACTAAATTGTCAGATTTACTGTCATAACTAGTACATAAGGGACAATATATAGTTAAGATTTTGAGTGAATCTTTAAACTTACTCTTAAAGATAATATAATCATTCTCATATATAATCGAGTTGACTCATGAACATAATGAGTCGAACTATATATAGTTCAAGTTCAGCTCATTTAGTTAACAAAAATAGTTTTTACGCTCATATTCACCTCATTTGATCATGAACCTAGTTCAACGATTTAATTGTCAAACTGAGTTCCGAACTATTTTCGAGTTGATTCGGTTCATTGTCAGCCCTACTCCTATGAAAAAGATAAAATTTGGATCTGTTAAGTCACATGCGTTCTTGTATCTGTTGGACTTAAGACTTCACACACACAAAAGGGGGTAAATTGTCTGGTTTAGAAAAACGTAATTTTAAAAATTGTTAAATAATTAGAGTTTAAAAATATTTTTGAAAACATAGGAGTAGAAAAATTAAAGGCAGAAAATAAATTGCGGAAATTTAAAGGAGTCAAGGAAAGAAGAATAACACACAGAATTATGCAGGTTCAGTAAAAAATGACTTAGTCATATTCTCAAGAATTGATCTTGAGATTTTCTAATAAACGTTAAGAGCTTTTAGTAGGAAATACTCACGAATTTCTTATACAATAAAATGATCCTGAGAATTCCAAAAGAAGTTTACGTTCACAACAGAACCTGCACATTTCAAGCTTTCTTTCAAACCCTCCTCCCCACAACCCACTTTCATCGACCGTCGTCGTTCCCCCTCTGACCCACGTCGTCCTCCCTCCTCCCCACACACGACCGTGCATGCGCCGTCTTCCTTCCTTCGTCCGTGCGCGCGCCGTCTTTTTCCTCCTCTGTCCCTGTGCGCGCCGTCTTCGTCCTCCCTCCGCCCACGACCCACGACCCATGACGAAACTCCCTCCTCCGTTTTATTCTCTGTTTCGTTTGGCTGTTGTGCATAAACATTATGCTGAGACTTGGTTTAAGATTAAGGGTAACAAGCAAGTGAGTTTTTTTATAGTGATTTATGGTTGTTTGTTTTTTTGGGATTGATTCTTTTTTGTTGGTGAATTTGTGAGACTGATGAATGCTATGAATTTGTGAGGCTGATGAATGTTGGTGAATTTTTATATTTTTTTTACAGAAAATTCTATTTAAATGATTTTAACTTTTTTTATTAGACTCATGCATAAAATAAATGTATGAGAGATAGATAAACTTTTCTCTTACAATTGAAATACTATAATCTATTCAGAAGAAAATGTTGGTACGTGGTGTTTTTTAGATGGAATATATCTTTTATTTTTATTATGAAATTGTTTTTCTTCATGGTTGAGCATAACAAAATTTGCTTTCCATGAAAACTTGTCAAAGTCATGGACAGTTGAGTCAATGATAGATATTGCTAAAGGTATATATGATTAGGTGACATATGACAATACTTGACAATTCATTGATTTTGTTCATAGTCCTACACAATCACTACAACTATCATCCTAATTTAATTTTCATATTTTTATTTATTTTTGGTCAAGAAATACTAAATTATTTATTAAATAAGATTATTATGAATTTAGATTTTATCTTAACTTATCTGAGAAGTCGTGATAGGATAATCTTTTTGATTAATGAATTGTAAATACTTCTATAAATAAATTTTCGGAACCTAATTCATCTAAATTGTTAATAACCAAACAAATATTTATCAAATAAAAAATTTCACAAGTTAGAAATCACTAAAAAAAAGAAGAAAGAAAGCAGGATTCATTTACTAAATTTAAAGTTTGTTTTCTTTAGATATTGAATTTGTTTGTTATAAATTAAGGAAAAAATAATTTTATTTTTATGTTTTTAAAATAATTTTTATAAATTCTTTTTAAAAATAGTAAAAAAAACATTTTAAATTTGTTTTCTATAAAATACGACAACAACTTTGCACATTGTCCAATATATTTTAAGTTATCAAATAATACATGACAACATAAAAAAATTACAAATTAAAAAGAAATATTGAGAAAAAAAAAGAAAGAAATCTCATTATCATCATAAAAATGAGTTATCACTTTCTCATGGATTTTCTTCTTCCTCAAAACAACATTCTTCTTCCTCCTAATCACTTTGTTGTTCTATGTAACTAATCAAATCACTAAATAAATCTACACATAATAATAATAATAATAATAATAATAATAATAATAATAATAATAATAATAATAATAATAATAATAATAATAATAATAATAATAATAATAATAATAATAATTATTATTATTATTATTATTATTATTATTATTATTATTATTATTATTATTATTATTATTATAATAATAATTATTATTATTATTATTATTATTATTATTATTATATAATAATTGAAAAAATGCAAAATACCATTTTTGGACAATGTATGAGAGATAGATAAACTTTTCTCTTATAATTGAAATACTATAATTTATTCAGAAGAGAATTTTGGTACGTGGTGGTAAAAAAAAATCAATGTTAAGCTCATAAGGTTAACGTGTGTCTTGTTCTTTTTTATTTTCTTTACTTTTGTAATTTTGTTTACAACTTATACTCTATTGTTTTTGGTATGTCAATATCTATTAATATGTTATATCTCTCATCACTTTTATTATCATGTTGATTTTAAAATTTTCCAGATATATTCATCGTTTGTGTATTGATACTTCACAATCTAAAGTATATAGATTTATGGACCCTGCTATGTTTTCGTACGTTGATCTTGTGCCGAAAACTCAAGCAAGTGTCAAACAATACATACAAGATAAGTTACGTGACGAAAAGAGAGAGTGTCACTTGCTACCATTTATTCATGGGTAAGTTTGTATGAAATTATGTTTTCTATTTTTTAATTTTTGTAACATATATAGTTCAATTTTGGTAACCTGAAATTGTGACTTTTGTGTTTCCACACACACGTACAGAGGTCATTGTCAATTAATAGTCATGTGTCCAAATGATAATACGGTGGTCGTCTTTTGTTCACTTCATCATGAACTTAATCAAACCATGACAAAAATTGTTACAAGGTAAGTTTATAATTTGATGTTCATTTCATCCTATATACATGATTTGTTACAAAAGTAATATCATATGTTATGTGGCTTTATATGAATTTTTTTCTTCTGAATTAGTGCTTTTGGGGTTCATCAAGCGGCAAATAGGAATAGAAAAAAAGCTACATGGCTTCAACCCAATGTAAGCGTGACGTAAATTATAATTATATATTTAATTTTATCATATAAGTATTCACTAATTATGTCATTCATTTGTAGACAAGGAAACAACCTAACTTTAATGATTGTGGGTATTATGTGAAGAAAAATATGTTGGATATTGTCTCAGCCAATATAACCAAATCTTGGATGAAGGTAATAAAAATGACTTTAATTTGTTATTTACTTTACGTTTTGCAACTTAATGTGAATTTTCAAAGAATAACTCTATTGTTACTTACGTGTTGTAGGTATTTGATGACCCAACGAACTTAACAAACGATGATTTGTATGATTTGCGACTCCGTTGGGCAACATGTTTCTTTGAATTATATAAAGGTTAAGCTTTTTGTTGTTGTAGTGGTCCATCGTGCAAACATCCTTACAATTTAGTACATTTGTGTATATCCTTTATGCTGACACTTTTGTAAATCAATTATGTGTATACTAGATATTTGGTGCAATTAAATTAAATTTGTGAGAAAAATATGAAAATAACTACCTAAATATGGTCTATGTGATATTGCAAAACTATGAAAATAGTGACCTAAATGTGGTCTATATGATGTGCACTATGGAAAATAGTGACCTAATTATGGTATGTGTAATGTTGAAAAAATATGAAAAATTAGGTACCAAAAAAGTTACAGGGAACGGCTAAAAAATAGACAAATAATTTATACTTGTAACAGTACATTTTACATTGGGCGAATGAAATAACCGATGTAAAAAACTACCTTTTACATCGGTTTAACCACAGAACCAATGTAAAAAGTGTCAGCATAAATTTTTTTCCTACAGTACTTTTTACATCGGATGAACCACACAACCGATGTAAAAAGTCTATCTTTTACATCGGTTTAACCAGAGAACCGATGTAAAAAGTGTCAGCATAAATTCTTTTTCCTACAGTACTTTTTACATCGGGCGAACCACACAACCGATGTAAAAAGTCTATCTTTTACATCGGTTTAACCAGAGAACCTATGTAAAAAGTGCCAGCATAAATTTTTTTTTTCTACAGTACTTTTTACATCGGTTTTTCCACGCAACCGATGTAAAATATCCACCTTTTACATCGGTTTTATCTTACAACCGATATAAAAACACCCTTTTATAATTAAAATTTATATATTTTTTTTCACATCATACTTAAAAATTTAACCGATGTGTTTGGTGCATTTCTTACATTGGGCCAAAACCCGATGTAAAATGTCTTTGATTTACTACATCGCCTGACTTTACATCAGACTAAGACCCGATGTAAAAAGTCATTTTCGTCCGATGTAAAAAGTCATTTCTGCACTAGTGATCAGTGTCTTTTACTTCTATTAAACAACAAAAATTATTTTATTTTAAAATGGTTATTTTATTTTATTTGTCACTCTAATGGTAAATCATATATGTGGTTTGTCATCATCCCCATGAATATTGATTTAAACTAGTTTATGTTTTGCTTCAATTTTGTCGTGCAAACCTCGAGACACGAGTTTATCAGTAGTATTTATGCTTGAATTGACTGAGAATTCAATTAGTGTTTGCGTTGATCTTTTTATTCTACTTGGAAAGTATGTTTATGTTGAAGAAACAAAACATCACAGCAATGTTATCATAACTCAATATTTTATCTCTGCAATTGCAATAATGAATAGCAGTACCAAAATATTTTTGAAATTTGATTTGTGTTGTTATTGTTAAGACCTAAAATTCTAAGAGTCGTGATAATGGTTTTAATAAGTACAAAACTTGAAAAAGTACAAAATTTGAAAATTTACTTTCTGTTTTGTGCCTAGGAGGTCATGGTTAGAAGTTTGAGTCGTGGAATCAACGTTTTGTAAATGCAAGATAAGATTGTATACAATAGACCCATGACTCACAAATTGGTCCGACCCTGTTAGAGATAAAATATCTCATTTATACTTAATATAGATAACTCTCCTCTTGTTATGTTAAGAGTTAGTTTCACTAACAGCATTATCCATTGGGTCGTATGCGGGTTTGTTATGTTTGTTAACAGTTAAGTGTTTCTTAGGCTAGCTTTTTTTAAAAGCAAAATCCAATTTCTAAAACTCAGCATCACAGTGAATTCAAGTGTGTGTTAGCGAGGTGTTAGATTCGGATTCACGTGTAGATTCGGATTATCAAGTTAATAAGTGTGTGTTAGCGAGGTGTTTTGGAGGTTTGGGAGGATTTCTTATTTCTAATCACTTTCTAGAGGAGTGGAGCAGTCGATCAAGAGGTTTTTATATGTATATTGACCGAGGATGTTGCGCTGGTGTGGTCTGGTTTTGTTTGGTCGCAAGGTCTGAAAGTGTTCTGTAATTTTTAGTTAGGTGTGGTTTGTGTTTCTTGTTCTTAGTTGTTCTCAGTAGGACTTGTAGGTGTATTGGTGGATATAGGAACTTGTTGGGTTAGAGTTGTGGATTTTCTTGTAGCATTGTACGATCTTTCTATATGGTGTTTTTGCTGGCGTGGGATATCACTAGTTTTTGTATTTGTATTTGCTGGCATATCTCTTTTCTCACCAGAGAAATAGGAATGACATGAAAAATGGTGGCTTATATTGAACATGAAAGCAAAAAGGTAGTACTTTAGACTTTATTAAAGAATTGATTTTTTTTAACGTGTTCAATTTTTTGATTTCATTATCAATTTCAAGTTTATAAAGTCAAGAAACCTTATTAAATAACATATTCAAAGTGACAATTTCATTTGTCACGCAGATCTCTTCGACTATTATATTCTTGTTGAGCGGTGGCTGGTAAAGAAATATAGTATTTTATGTTAGTGAAACATTGGTCCTTCGATTTATTATTATAAAAAATAAACACCGGTTCTTCTTGTTTGGTTCTATGAAAACAAAATTGTCAATCAACAAAGTGCAATATGGGAGCTTCAACCTTTTTCATTTGCATAGTTTTTGACAAATATGGATGTGCCAGTGTCGATATCATGTTTCTCGTGTCCGTGCTTCATAGTATGATAGATACTTAAGAACTCCGCTTTGGTAATTGTATTTTTGAAATTAATAAAATGACATGAAAAAACTGAGTATCTCATTATGTGTGATTTACATTGACAGTGTATATATAATCATTTAACTCTTTAATTAATTAAGATTTTAGGCGGACATGTAGTGTCAAAATCTCTTGGATCAAGAACGTTTAGCCCTATTGACACTTCGGGAACACTAGACTATTCAAGAGTATGAGATAAAAAAGATTTTCATTATAACCAGTTACAAGATTATTTAAATCTTTTATCTTCCATCGTACCGTAAAAATTCGATTTTCTATAGATTTCAAGGAACTGATATCACTTAATAGAGAATTGCAGCTACACATTTTGGAGCTTGCTGATATATTCTTATTGAGAGGCCATTACAGTATGCAAGAAGAGTTGAAGAAATTTCGACTTTATTCATAACCATATATATAAGTAAATCCTGCAACGAACAATTGAATCTTAGATTAATAGATTACACTAACAATTGAATCTTAGATTAATAGATTACACTTATTTTAACTTAACTAACACGTATCAGTTGAACAAGTTGAACAAGTTGAACACGTATCAATTGAGCTATTCCATCTGCCTATGATGCAAATGTACAACAGTAATATATTAACTTCAGACTATCCAAACAAATTTCATTATGCAATCATTTGGATTCTACCACCATGATACCGCCATCAAGTCCACAATTATAACCCTACAAAAAACAAATGAAACACTATTTAATTATAAAGTTGAATCAAATTGAAAGATGGTGTAGTTTAGGGAGGTGTGAGAATCAATGAGAGCAATGGATTATTTAAAAGCCAGAAATTCTTAAATCCTAACTCAACTTGCTGAGATGGATAATGCTAAACGTCATTACTAAAGTACGAACCCTAGTACTCGCTCTAATGATTATTATAATTACTAAAGTGAGAAAAGAACAGTTGGCAAAAAGTAAAGCTGAGAACCTCAATATCATTGAATTTTAAGAAGAATCTTGACTTGGGAATTGACAGCATGGTTTGAAGAACTAATGCAATTTCAGCACTGAGTTTCTTGTTCAACTCTGGATTGAGAATACCAATAGCCACAAATTCACCATAAGCAGCTGGGTCCTCTGTGTTACCGAAACTCATGGGTATTGATCCTTCTAATGAAACAGTCACCCACTGAAAATCAACATTAAAATATGAAAAATAAAGATAGACTTTACATGTCTAGAACAAAGATTAATGCAAATAAAAAGGATTAAAAGAGTGAGGGGAAAGTGTTAATACAGATTTAGGGTAATTCAAGATGTTGGCAAGAGTTGAGTTGAGTTGAGAAAGTATGGAAGATACATCAACACCGTCAAAGCTAACGTTTGTTGAAAGGTTGAGACCAGGCATTTCCACCTTTTTGATCTTAGTCTCACACGCAAAATAACAATAACAATACACCTTTTATCTTCTCGTTATTTTTTTAAATTGTTGAGATTAGCAATCATGTGCAAATTAATATTAAAATAGTGTATTCACAGACCCATTATGTAAGCAATCACGTGTAATAATAAATAAGAATAAGTTATTCCATTAATTAAGTGTAACCAACTATTTCTATTACTATGCATATGATACTATGCATATGAGTTGGTATAACGTGGAGCTTGAACAAGCACGTTACAAAGTTTTCGTGTTGTTCAATTCAATGAAGACTTTCTCTACTAAAACAACTAAAATAATAAAATTGTTTGGAGTTTAGTTCCCACCGTCTTACTTAAATCAACGCATTAGTGTTGGAAGAAATGGAAAAAAAAAAACTTATGTATTATACAAATTAGTTGCCTCGTAGATAAATTTCAAATTTTTTTTTTATGATTAGTAATTATATAAATAATTATTATTGTTTTATTATAAAATAACTTAATAAATTTAAAATATGCAATAAAAATGATTGACTGAATCTTTATAATATATTGGATGGATTGAATTTATCTATATTATATAAATGGATTGATTGATCCAATCTATTAATATACTTTTCATATAATAGATAAATTGAATGGATTTTTTAATAAATGAATTGGATAGATATTTGCTTAATGGATTCTATTGTCACTCCTAATTACGTATAAGGTCATGTTTGAAGAAAATATTGTAAGCGAAAAATATTTAGTGATATTTATATGAGATTAAAACATCAATACTTACATGATTTGGGAATAAGGGTTGTCATTCTTGTCACCTTGATTCAAAATTCTGAAAAAATGAATGACCAAATCTTCATCTGTATTCGTTCACAACTCTCAATGAAGCAAGTTGTGAAGTAGTTAGTTATGTTTCTGATTCTAGTCAATACAGACGAGACCTAGCCATATAATATATATAACCTTATTCCCTACCCATTATGGGTCTTGGGTTAAAGCCCACACTTTTCCACACTAATCAGGTTTTAGACACTCCGTCTTTGATTAAAAGAGATCACTTAACCAATAAATGACTTATATATGCACCCCCATCAGAATCACGATTAACCCGTTTTTCACAAACTAAGCAACAATTGATTGTAGCCCATAAAAAGTTAGATAAATCTAACATTCTCCCACTTTGGCAAAATCAATTGTGTGGTTTTTATCTTAAAATATATTTTGAAAACAACTCTCGGGTTAATGACTAATTCCTTAAAATGCGGTTGCATTTTAAAGAAATGCATGATTTCAGGTGCAGTGTTTGAATGAGCCTAAGTCCTTTAGTTAGGGGATCAGCTAGCATGAAATCAGTACCAGTATACTCAACAACAATGTCATTTTTCTTTACAAGGTCTCTTAGTGTCAAATACTTTAGTTCCAAATGCTTAGAACCGCATGAAATTTTATTATTCTTAGAGTAGAGCACAGTTGCACTGTTATCACAATAAAGCTTTAGTGGCTTAACAATGAAATCAAAAATACAAAATCCAGTCACTAAATTTCTCAATCAAACAGCTTGAGTGACAACAACATAACAAGCAACAAACTTTGTCTGCATAGTAAAAGAGACGACAAAAGTTTTCTTTTACTCTTCCATGATATCGCACCTACAACCAACATGAAAATTTAACTAGAAGTAGATTCCCTATCATCAACACACCCAACAAGATCATAGTTAGTATGCCTAACTATTTCCAACTTGTCAACTCTCCTAAAGACAAGCATATACTCTTTAGTCCTTTGCAAATATGTCATCACTTTCTGAGCAACAATCGAATGATCACTCCCAGGATTATACTAGTATACTTCCAAGATGCCAACTATGAAAGCAATGTTAGGCCTAATGCATACTTGAGCATACATAAAGCTGCCCACTGAATTGTCAAAGGGATTTCCTTTCATCTTTGTCTGCTCAATCTCATTTTTAGGACATTGATCTTTACTGAATTTGTCTCCTTTAGTAATTGGAACATCTTTTGGCTTACAATTCTACATATTGAACCTCTCCAGAACTCTATCAATATAAGCCCTCTATGGCAAGCCAAGTACACCATATGGTCTATCTCTGTGTGTTTCAATTCCCAACACAAAAGATGCTTCACCAAGATCTTTCATATTAAAGAACTTGGTTAACATAAGTTTGGTCTCATGAAGTAGACCAAGATCATTACTGGAAAACAAACTATCATCAACATATAACGCAAGAAAGATGAATTTTCTCCCACTGACCTTAAGATATATACACTGATCGACTTTTTCTTTAAAACCCAATGAAGTCACCACCTCATCAAATTTCAAGTACCATTGTCTAGAAGCTTGTTCCAAACAATAAATATATTTTCTCAATTTACAAACCAAATGTTCATTACCCCTTGATACAAAACCCTTAGTTTGCTGCATGTACACTCCCTCATTAAGATCACCATTCAGAAAAGTATTTTTAACATCCATCTGATGTAATTTCAAGTCAAAATATGCTACAAGGGCCATAAAGATTCTAAAAGAGACTTTAGTGAAAACAAAAGAAAAAGTTTCATTAAAATTAATTCCCTCCTTTTGTGTGAAGCCCTTAGCCACAAGTCTTGCTTTAAACCTCTCAATTTTACATTTTGAGTCCTTCTTTGTTTTGAATATCCACTTGCAGCCAGTCACCTTACCGTTTCTTGGTAACTCCACTAATTCCCAGACATTAAATTTATATTTCCATCCAAAAAGGTAAACAGAAATCCACATCTATCTAAACAAGACACTAAATTTATTTCCTCCTAAAAGAATTAAAGCATCCTGAATTGGAGGAGCTGAGGAGGTTAGGATCTCTTATGACTTGTCCTTCTTATTTCAAAGGCCACTATGGAAGATTTCTAACTATGTTGAACACTGATCCTGAAGACAGATTTTTGAACACCTTGGTCCAATTCTATGATTCAGCATGTAGGTATTTCACTTTTCCTAATTATCAGCTTGTGCCTACTTTAGAGGAGTATTCTTATCTCATAGGATTGCATGCATAAGATCAAATATCGTTCTGTGGTTTAGAGGAAATTCCTAAGTCTCATTTAATTGGAGAGGTTGTGAATTTGAGAAAATGGGAGATTGATGTGAATCTTGTGACTAAAACAGGTATTCTTGGTCTACCTTCTAAGTTCTTGATGGAAAAGGCTGTTACTCTTGCTAGTGCAGGGAGTATGGTTGCTTTCGAAGTTGTTCTCACTTTGCTTATCTATGGCATAGTTTTGTTCCATAATGTTGAAAACTTTGTGGATATCAATGCTATCAGTATCTTTATGATTCGGAATCCAATTACTACTTTGCTCGCAAATACCTATTATTCTATCCATCAATAGGACAGGGAAGAATGAAGGAACTGTTATGTGTTGTGCTCCTTTACTGTACAAGTGGTTTATTTCGAACTTGTCGTAATCCATCTTATACAAGGATAACAATAAGGGTTTGAGGTGGTCTTAGAGGATTATGTCTTTCACCAACACAGATTTGACTTTGTATTCTAGAGTTTATGATGACGTGGAGATTATTGACAGTTGTGGTGAATTCCTTAATGTGCTTCTTCTTGGTACAAAAGGAGGTATTAACTACAATATGATTTTGGCTCGACGTCAACTTAGGTATGCTATGAAGGATAAACCAAACAACATTCACTTGGAAAGGTTTTGTTGACAAAATATTGAAAGAAAAGGTCGAGATGAAGATTGTTTTTTAAGTTCATATTAGGAGTCTCAAGAGGAAGTTGCAGTATGGAGATGGATATTCTTCAGTTGTAGTCACCTCAGATCCTAAGCCTTAGTTTATATCTTTTGTTTAGGATTGCTTTGAAGTTATGTAATGAAATTTTAATCCCGCTATGTTTTTTTAATGAAATGGAAATTCATTTCTCTTTTAATATGTTATCATTTATGATATTTGCAATATGCTTATAGTTCCTTAGTTTCTTGGAAATAATCATTTGTATATGAATTTCAAGTATCATTTGCATCATTTGGTCTTGCTTTTTGCTAGTCTTTTGGAGTGTCATTCGTTTCGTTCGTCTTTGAACAGAATACAAGCTGACACATTGGTACAATACTCAGGCCAACTCAAGATGAAAGATGGATACTATTGAGAAAGAGCAAAGGGAACTTCGTAAGGAAGTGAATTCATTAAAGACGTGAATGGACATAATGACTGCTTTGTTGGAATCCTTAGTGGTATCTCAAAATCAACCACCACCTTTGTCTCAGCCTCAAGTGAATGTTATCTCCGAAATCACAACTACTTCTATTGCAAATGCTGTACCTATTTGACCTCTGTGTCAGAATCAGATGTCTGCTGGTTATTCTTGGGGTATGCCTCCTAATTATGTGCCAGAGAATTTTCATCCTATTACTGAAGCTCTATCAGTGAGTCAAGTTCCTCCAGTTCAACATGTGATGGTCACTGCTCCTCTAGTTATGCATGTTGTGCCACAAGAGGATCCTATTTTTCACACTACTCCTGGTGAGAATCTGGATGTTTATGAGAGAATGGATGAATTCCAGGATCAATTCCTAGAATTTCAAAAAGATTTAAAAGTTGTGCAGGGTAAAGATTTGTTTGATAATAACTCTTATCATTTGTGCTTGGTTCACAATGTCAAGATCCTTGTCAAATGCAAGGTCCCTAACTTTGAAAAGAAAAAAAGTAAATCGTGTCCTCACAGTAAGTTGAATATGTATTTTCGGAAGATGGCTACTAACACTGATGATGATAAGTTGTTGATCCACTATTTTTAAGATAGTTTGACTGGTGCATCTTTGAAGTGGTATATGGGTTTGAACAGTGCTCATGTTTGTTCTTTCAATGACCTTGCATAGGAGTTTGTACGCTAATATAAATATAATTTGGACATGGCTCATGATAGTGACCAGTTAAGCAATATGTCACAGAAAGATAAAGAATCACTCAAAG